TGGATTGAGATTTTGAATTTTGTTCACCATTAGGTATGCAATTAGCTCAACCTACTTTCTTCAACCTCTTACATGATTTTTGATTCAAATCAATAACAAATAATCTTTGAGTGGTGGTAGTTTCTATAGGTAGGTTTCCAAATGACTACTTTTTCATTTGTGTGAGAAGCCTATCATGATGTGTAGCCCCAGAGAACATAATTTTTCGAAAATTTCAAACCTGAAACTGTTAGTTTTGACATATCCATCCATGATGCCATATTACTATGCCAAAGACAGAGTCTTTATTTCCAGATGTCGATTCGTTTCCAAATTCAGACTTACTATTTTGACTTTGATAGTTGGGATCTCTGAAATCGCCGCTATTGTAAAATGGGTCTTCTTCCTCGTAACTGTTGTGCCTGACGAGTCAGTTGTTGTTCCCTTTCACTGATTCCGAGCTTAAGTCGGACAAATTCTCTGCATAAAAGGCCAATTCATTTTCTGTTAAAAATAGCTTACCAAAATAAAAATAAAACTATACCTATAACTATATAATGTTTATGAAACGGGATTGGAAAATATAATATATTACTCTTATCTTTAGATAGCACATGTGAAAATTCATTATCTAACCGAATATGACGCTTTACATTTTTTTTTTTTGCGCCCAATAGTTATTGTTGATTGCGCATGTCGGGCGATTTTTACTATAATACTCCGAGGTGATTGCCTAGGGAAGGAATTTATCCAAATAATTTCATAGTCAACACAAACTCAAAACTTGGAATTACATTCAAATAAAACATCAATACATTATCCAAGTCTGGAGAGAAATATAATTAAGATCTAATTTAGATCTCTTTCCTCTACATATTTCTAGTATAATTCCCTAAAGGCAGAGGTAATCCTTTAAGCAAGGCAGCAAATTTCGCTCTACTGGTTTTAGCTATAAAACAGACTTTGCTCTATGCTGCAGTTAATCTTGGAGGATGTTGACGGATAATTCGATTGATCGGCAACTTTGATGACATCGATTTTAATTTGTGGGACCAAGCAACACTCAAAATAAATAGATGCTTTTCCTGTTCTTTGAAAATTTCGAGCAAACAAGTATATATTGAAACTCTTGCAATTAGCATGAGTTTTGTCTGATTGTCGTTAAAGTTAGCGTAACTTTACATAAACCAGATTGTAAGTTCAGTGAACATATCTTGGATCTTTGCTAATTGGGAAACTGACCCCGCTGAACTATTGTTACAGCCGAACAAAAATAAAGCAAACATTAAAATGTGATTGTGTTAATATTACGTATGAGCATGTAGAACTAATTTTGCATATGGCTTAAAAGCACAGCAATTAATTATTGAAGCTCAAAACTTTTTAACAGTTAGGACTTTATTTGAAACTATTTCCATTTATATGGTTTGTTTTATTCTTTGTACAAAGTGTTAATAGCCCAACCCAACAAGGATCATTAAATTGTAAAGACTTGTTCGTTTGAATGCATAAAGGATTATCTCTCGCACTTTATGGCTCTATGTTCAGATAAAACTGTCTGTTCCAGGCACTAAGGGCTATTGATTCAGACAACCACTTAAGTTTCTATTCGTGTATTGATTTGATAGAAACGCGGCTTTTTTTTTTCTTGGAAAGTGCGTGAATATTTATTTCGAATTGAATAAAATATGCAAGATCTATAGGGACAACTTCTACTATTAGTGCAAGGAAATACTAAGCAAATATTGGAATCGTTTTCCAATACATGGAATATTTATTTTTAATGTTCAGCAAATTACAGTTCTAGTTTTGGAGTTTTTTTATTTCAATTTTGAAAATTTTAGAATAAGTTGGGGTAAGATCTGGGCTCTTGTTTTTTACTAAAATTCTTGAAAATAACTATTGGCGAGAATTATTGTTTTTCGTGTTAGCGCCATGATACGAAAAAATAGTTAGCATTTATAGTGAATTGCTTTTGTTGAACTAGTCACGAAATCACGTTCACATCCATACGCAGTAAGCAATTTTCTCCTTGAAGACCTTTCAAAACGTTATTCCTCTGGAACGTAGCTGGAGCGTTTTTTAACTCAAACGGAATCCGGACATACTCGTAATGGCCATTCTAGCCATTTCGATTTTGTGGAAACCACTTGCCAGATCCAAAGTCGTGAAGTATCAGGTATCAGCGGTTTGGAAGTGAAGAAGTAGGTAGCGCGACCAATTTACATCCATTGAAGGAGATTACTCGAATTTTTTTTTCAAAAATCTGTTGGTTCAAGATCAATCAAGAGATCAGAATAATCATAATTTTCCTGGAAAAAAAAAATAATTCCACTTAAAGTGCAATTGCCTTGGTTATTTGCTTATGTCTAATTTGAGCAAGCAATATTCATTGCTTAGTAAATAATTGAGTTTGGCATAGCTATCTGCGGTAATCTTGTAAAATTAGTCTTCAAAGTAAACATAACATTTACACTAATTTGCGTTCAAGTTTATTGATTACTATTACTATTACAAATGGAGTCAATAAAAGCTGTTTTTGTATTGGTAATTAAATTGAATTCTATAGCACAAAATCGCCTTGCAACCCACAAATAAATTTCAAAACTTCATATGGATTTTCTGTAGTATAAGTCAGCTACAAATTCATCAGCACCCATAAATTTCAACCGTAGCTGTTAATTGTCGATAGTTGAACATCGTAAAACATTTTAAAGCTATTTGCTCGATTATTACTGACTAGAGTTAGTGTGCGCAGCTAGCGCATCGGAATATTAAAATTGTACTTTAAGTTTTATGTTATAATTTTATAATTATTCCTGTATCATTATTAGGCAATAATTACTTTGATAATTTGGTTATGAGCCATACAAAAGCATCAATTTCTGCAAATTTCTCCAAAACTGTTGCTCATCTCATCAAAATGCAATAAAAATGCCATTACATTCATCAACATGAACTTGAACTTAAGAAAAAGCAAACCAAAAATCATGAAATGAAAATAAATTTACGATTCATGCATTCTTGAAATAAAAAACCTTGGAAACCGTTTTGCTTCGCCATCTATAAACCGAAACGCTATAAGTTCCATCCTGCCTGCAATACTCGCAGAGTCCTATTGCTTGCGCCATCTTTGGAAAACTACTAAAGACAATAATGAAATCGATTTTACTGGATTTTCGGTAGAAAAGAAAACTAAACAATACCTTAGAAAGAAAATCTTTAAGTCATAGTTAGTCTGCCAGAGAATAGTAGTTACAGAATACCTTATGGGAATATAATTTCAACCCTTATATTCTTGCAAGTTTTTTAAATATAGAGGGCCCCTGAAGTTTAACAAAGATTGTTTATTACTTGGTTGAATTGTATATTGAAATTCCCAACAAATTATCTGTCTGCATTGCATTGTCTAAAAAAGAAATTGGCATTGATCGGAAAAATTACAAACAATAATGTCTATAGAAATATTTTAGAAATATTCCTTTAAAATAAGTTTTTCAAATATATAGGGAATGCAAGAAATTGGAGAAAATACAATAAAATAAATGACCACTCGCAAGCCAATTTTTTTAGACAATGTAACAATGATAACCATTCTATGGAATATGAATATTGTTACGACAACGCCGGTCAACATCCTAGAATTTGGCACTCAAGAGTTTGTACTGACCAGCTACACAAACTGTGTACAAATTATATGTGGACAGTTGGAGAATGATTTTGGGAGCTGCGTTGGACTTGTACAAATACAACAAACTTACAATAAATACCTCGTCAGGAAAACCTTTGGCGAACTCACACGAAATTATACCAGTCCGAATAACAATCCTCTGTCAAAACACTATTCAAATCAACAACGGCGATGTCATAGCCACCTATGAGCCTGTCAAAGAGTCAAGCTGAAAAAGATCGAAGAAAGAAATAAAATAAATCATCCAGCGACATTCTGAGACAATTCGAAACAACTTGGAAACATCTTTCCTCTACAGAACTAAAAAAGGCTTAACAGATCCTTTGTGAGAACAAGGATCATCAAGCATGAAATCAATACTGGCAGTGCTCATTCAATCCGTAAACCACCTAGAAGACTTCCTTCTCAACAAAAAGAAGTGGAGTCATTAGTAGACAGTATGCTTGCAGAGGGATTTCTTATCTGTTGAAGAGTCTTCAAGTCCATGGTCATCGACAATTGACTAGTAACAAAGAAAAATAGATCTACCAGATTTTGCATAAAGATGTCACTAAGACAGTTATCCAGTACCCAGAATTGTCGATATCCTTACGACATTGGTTTTCTGTAGCACTTTCAATTTCTTGGCTAATATGCTACTTTGTTTTGCTCTAGTGGATATGATTCCATTTAGAACTATAAAGAAATAAATGAATAAACGACTTGTCGGTGCCCAGATTCTATTACCTTGAGTACTGCCTTCTACTAAAAGTTTTTTGGTTCAGGTTTGCAATTGTAGTTGATTGATCTAGGAAGATTTGATTCAGTACGGCAGGGCCCGCTGTTATTGATTAGAATCTTATGAAAAGGAGAGAGTACCATCATCTCTAGTTGGCAAATCCAATCAATATAATCTGAGGTTATGATAGTTGTTGTTGTTGTTTACTTTATTCGATTTTTCAGTTCCATCATGTCATTGAACAGCTGTCGCTGTCTAGGCATTTTCTTTAAGATCTGTTCTACTTTTTGAGATAGGTTCAACCCACAACCCACTTTTCAGTTCGTATTTTTGAGATGAAACTTAACACGCCCTTTTCTATAATTTTCATCAATGTCAAAATTAGAAGGTTGAGGTCGGTCTTGGCCCTAATTATTTTCAGGCAAGACTTTTTGGAATTTTGTGCCAGGGAAACTCAAATTAGACTAATTTCTTGTTGATCATTGTCTAGAGTTGTCCCTTGGTCATTTTGGATTTTGTTTCGGTAAGTTTTGAGATCTTTTTCAGGAATTATTAACCTACAACACGTGTTTCATTTCTTCAATAGGATCGTTCCGAACAGCTTTTGGAAGTTTAAGACTTCACCTTTGGCCTAGAGCATCCCTCAGTTAGAGGTAAGATTATTTCTAATGTTTTTTATACGAACATCGTTGTAGGGTCCTAGGCCGTAATAAGAAGGTCCTAGGCTGTATTTAGAGAGATTCTAGGCTGGATCTAGATTGCTCTTAGTTGGGGCTTTGGTAGCTTCCCTTCAGTAACCCTTTTGGTACCACTCTGATAGAACCACGTTGAATTCTACGTTAAACAGATAAAACGTGGATAGGATTTCCATAGGACTCACTCACCATACCATAGTCTGGAAGAAACTTAGAACTGCTAACTGCTTCTGTCTGGATCTACAGTGAGACCAAACATGTAGATTACCTCACTTTAGGAACTTCTGAGTTTACACATACATTTGAAGATAACTAACACTTGTATACATGTAAGTTGCACTTTTTACTATTTAGGCAAATTTTATATAAATCACCTGACACTGAATTACGTCAGTACGTGCCCCTTAAATGAAATTCTAGAATTTTACCTTGAGGTATCCCTAATAATAATTTTTATTTTTCTGGTATTAAATTTGCCTCTTGGTAGAGTGTAACTGAAATTGTGGTCTTAATCTTTCACAAGTGTAGACAAACAGTTAAAACTGTTTATTTTAAATTCATATATATATTATTTACATTCATATTTTTTTTTATAATCAAATATTTATAAATTGGTACAAGCCATAATCTATACACATTTTTAACAACGTCCTGGCTATCCCTATTTATTATTGTAATTATTTTTAATAAAGAAAGCCAGATACATTGTTGTACCTAATTGTTTTATTGCTAAGCTCTCCAATTGCACAGGTTTTGTTTATGACATCATTAAGTAATCTTCCTAGTTAAGTCACAATTAACTTGGTGGCGCCCAGAGATAAGATGTATACAAGGAACCCATAAACCCACGGCCTCCGAATTGATGCTGACTAGCCGTACGCAGTATAATTAGGCACTTGCCAAATAAGTACGTTATAATATACTCCTGGACAAAATTATCGCACCACTGCACATAAGCATCACCATAAGTAGTGGTGCGATAATTTTGTCCAGGAGTATATTTCTACTTTGGATTTAAAAGCAGATACTGGCAGGTGGGCATTGACGAAAAAGACAAAGAGAAGGCAGTGTTCTCTAGTAGAAGTGGTCATTACCAATTCAAGGTAATGCCTTCTGGACTCTATAACGCCCCCGCTACTTTTTATACGTTTATGGAAATCTTTCTACGAGGACTTACGTGGAAAGTAGGCTTTGTCTACCTGGATGATGTGTTAGTGATGGGAAAAACTTTCGATAAGTGATAAATGAATTTTATACAGTGACCGCCAAAAAGTTTGCAACAAATGGGAAAATATTTTACTGTTAAGATATCAAATGTTTCGTGGGATAAAGTCAATTAGTTTGATAAAAGTTGTTACTGTTTGTGAAATGAGTTTTAGTGAACCCGTGATCCGTGAAAATATGAAAGAGAAAAAAATTGATCAATTAAATGACGGAGTAGAGGATTATACAAGTTCAAGTATAAAACTCAGAAATCATTTCCGACAGTGGGTACTGAGAATCACAATTAGTCACTTAACGGCTTTTTACATGAACTATCTGTTTGTGGTAAGTATTCGAGATTTGCCTTATTAAGTCAATACTGAGGACTTTTCGAAATGTATCGACAGTAATGGAGGATTTATTTGTTTATTTAGCTATTTAGGTTCGAGGTGCGACAATTTGGGTGACAATAGCCTTGTGCCCGATGCACAAAGTTTCCACCCTCAGAACGATTCTTCGCCCATACATTTCCATCTTGTTCTTTAACCGCGCAGGTGGGATTCCGGTTGAGAAAAGAGTTTCCCTTTTCTCGCTCTTCCTTGTCAATTGTCAAAACTGACAACGTGAACATCTGGAGGATCAAGAGATTCTTGACTAGAGAGGAAAATCAGATCCGGATAGGCTCATTGCTACCGATGTCATGCATTTGGCTTGGTTTGGGTTAGATGCACGTTCGTTGAGACTCTAAGACGTACCTTAAGTACGCAGGAAATCAAAATTGCAGTTCCTACATAGTCCCAAAAGGCCATCAAAGAGGTTAGGCGCAATGACGCTTGCGCTAATTACAAGCTGATAGGACAACCTCCAAGATACAGAGCCTCTCTCTCCCCAACAGACGAGAGATGCCAAGAGAAAGACCGCCGATGCCACACAAAAGGCCGCCAAAGATGCCGAGAAGACGAACAAAGAACTTGTTGCCCACACCAAAGATTACTCCCGATTACTCCCCTTCTGCCAATTTTGAAGACAGCCGGACCCTTAATTTTTCCTGTCAATTTCAGACCCTAATGTTAGTTAGTCTGATAACCATAGTGTAGCGATACATTCTAATACTTAAACTTCAAACAAGTACCAAATGTGTTCAGGGAGGCATTTGACTGTCTTATATAATTTCTAGGCACAGCTCAACGGGTCATGAAAATTTTTCAAAAGACCAGAAAAATTGAAATCTCTAAATTCCGCAGTTTTTCGAGCTACTAGGGGAGTATGGCAGTCAACTGCATATGAAGGAGCTGCTGATCAGTAATAAGGTTCTAGAAGAGCATGATGTCAGTGTTTGATGGAACGATAATGCTCACCAAACCAATGAGGCCACACAATATTGTATAATAATATTCAGTTCATGTACTACTATCTTACACGAGGTACTGAGTGAAACTCTAAGGCCCAGTTTCACAATCGGTGGTAACCAGCGCTGGTCAGTCAACTAGGGGTCAGGGTTTAACTGGGACTTCGCTCATTAATCTGTTTCACACTAAACAAACAATCGTTGGTTAAATAACTAATAGTTGAATTTTATTTCTCAAAGATTGGTACTTGATTTTTTGACAAAATTTTAAAAACCACCTTGAAAAATAAAAAAAGGCGCCTTTAAACTTCATTATAACGTCACTTTTTGTGATTTTTCATCAATAATTATATTAATTTTTGTCAGTGGCAGTAAAATTTCATAGATACCTATTCAATTCAATATTGTGTCGTGTTCTGTTCAAATTTAAATCATGAAGTCAAGTGAGAAAAGGTCTGCGATTTTTCCAAAGGAAGAAGAGTTACAGCCGTATTCATAGTCAATCGCCAGCGAGTCGCCGTATTTGGCCCAGCACACGGCGATTGACTATGAATACGACTGTTAGTGCCTCTCGTGCAAAAATATAAGTTCATTAGAATCATCAAGAAAATGCTTGGAGAAGGGTGGGAGCAGATTTTAATTCCAATTGTATCACTAACGGAAAAAGAAATGCAAAAGTCTTCATTCAATAATTTCACCTTTTCAAACTTGACACTTTTGAACTGCCCTAAAAAACGAAGCATTTCAGCTAACTCATAGTTAACTCATACGCATCCTTGGGTTAATTCAACTACTGGTTAACCAAAGGTGTCACGTTGAACCGTCAATTGTGAAATGCTGTTTTCGTTTTTAACTAGTAGTTATCTCATAACTAGTACTTTACTACACTTTGTGAAACTGGGCCTAAGACTTATATATTTACAACTAGGTGTATTCTTTCGTTCTGAACAAACTGATTACTTTCAATTTATCTGATTGCGTTCATTTGTTGCTTCTTCTTTCGCCTCCGGTCAGTTCCCCCACTCCACCTTCCAAAGTGAATGAAGTGTACGGATGTTTGCTTTCTTGTTTCCCCTTAAGCACAACCTCAGATATCCGATCACTTGGTTCATTTACAAAGAATGTAAACAAACGTCTTCTTTTGTAACAACTGAACACAACAAAATGGAAACTGAAGTGATTGCTCTGTTCAGATTCAGTTAATTCAGTTCAGTCAGAATTTTTAAATATCATTCCTACATCAATAATCCCTGAAAATTTGGACAGCATAGTATTAGGCCCTCCAGATGATATGAAATTTAAATTTCAACACCCTGTATTTTGGAAACGACGGACTTCCGACCATCGGTGTCCTATCTCAAACTACTTCTCTATGGTTCTTCTATATACCCTAGCACTTTTGACCAGTTGAACGGGGACACCCTATATATTTTTATTATACAGCACACACATTCTGACCTTTCTAGATTATGAATATTTCATATCGATCTGTCAGAGTGACAGCGTTTTAAATTCCGGATCTGAAAAATTGAGATTATAATTCATAACGCATGTTTTTCCATATGTTTCAAATATACAAGCTCGCACAACCAGAATTCTGATTCTGATTCTTCCCTTCCAACAAACACCGCTGAAATGATGCCGCAAACTACGAGCATACTGGACACGGAATTTTTAAGATATGTGTGCGGTGATGTGCCGGAATTCAGATCCTGAATTCTGTTCCTGAATTCAGAATCTGCATTCATAACGCACGGAATTGTATATATTTTTATTATACAGCACACACATTCTGATTTTTTCAGATTATGAATATTTCATATCGATCTGCCAGAGTGACTCTGACGAGCGTTTTGAATTCATCTGAAAAATTAAGATTATAATTATTTTTAACGCATGTTTTTCCATATGTTTCAAATATACAAGCTCACACAGCCGGAATTCAGATTCTGATTCTTCCCTTCTAACCAACACTGCTCAAAAGATGCCGCAAACTATAGGAGAATACTGGACGCGGAGTTTTTAAGATAGGTGTGGGGGCAATGTGCCAGAATTCAGATCCTAAATTATGTTTCTGGATTCAGAAAGACATTCCGGTTGTGTGAGGCTGGCCTTAGATTGTACAATTGATTTTCGATTTAAAAATTTAAAATTTTTTAGTTGTTTCATTCCACCTGGTGGTTTACGGTTTGTGGTGTGTACATTTTAAATTTGGATTTATTCCTGTATGCAGAGTGCAGAGTGGCAAAAAAGTCGCGCATAATACCTGAAACTATTTAATTACCTCGTATACGAAAAAGTGGTCTTTATGAAAGTTTTCAGTTAATCAGTAAATTATCTCCCACATTTCTACCTAGACGAATTGTTTCCGTCACTTCTGGTTGGTTTGCTATCCAGACCAACTTTGGTTTTTCAAATGAAACACCCTGTATGTGACTGCATATTTGGATTCTACGTAAAATTCTGAGTATTTCATGTGATATACACTATACCTAAGTTCAACTGCTTTCGAAAGATTGATATTTGAAAATTGACTTTTTTACAACTTTGGCAGGCTGTAAAATCTAAACGGTTAATTTAAGAGGAAGACCAATCTTACATTCTTGTCTTAGAGTTTTATAATCTTGACATCAACTTTGAATTGAATCCATGATTGCAAATTTCAATTAAATTTAATCTCTGGTCAAATTCAAAGATGGTGTCAAATGATAGCTTATGAAAATCTAAGCCTGTCAAAGTTGCAAAAAAGTCAATTTTCAACTGTCAATATTTCCAAGA